AGACCTTTTCCACTCAAGTATTTGATAAACTAATGTACCTTGGTAATGTGAGGTCACTGAATTCTTATTGGATTTGGTTACAGTTTGTCAGAGTAAGAACTGGCCGTTATCAACCTGGAAAAGACTCTCAAGCAACATGATAACCTCACATTTATTATTTTCCAATTTTCCCAATACCTCATGTCTGCTCCATTTTTGAGGGTGTTGTTTACACTGCTGTGCCTCTCATAAACAAATTGCCATTTACTGAAAGCATTATTTTATGAGTGAATGGAACTTGTGATTTCCTGTAATAGCCCAGTGCAGCAATAGAAGGCTGTGACTTTTATCAGCTCAGTTGTTGCTGACCCATGAGTGGGAGCCAGCAGAGCCTTGGTGTGGCACTGCAGAGTGCCCAGAAATGCCGCCCTGCATCTCATTCCCTGCCCAAACACACAGGGCAGCCCCTAAAGCTTGGCTAGCAATGCTAATCTTTCTTAGTAGTGAATAATTTTGTTTATTTAAGGTAAATACAAACCAGTCGTGCTGTTGCTGCTGCATTAATATCAGTCAGAGTGTCATTACATTAATTCAGTAATTCATGTTGGGCTCAGGCAAATTCAATTCATTGTTATTTCAGTGCCAGGTGATTTTGTGGTGCTGGTTAAAGAGCTGTGCTGGACCCTCACAGTGATCTGATATTTTATAAAAATAAATGCAGCTCCTTTATGTGGATGTGTCAATGGGGAAAGCTCTGGGACTGAGCAGCACTTATTGGCATAACAACTCCTTTATTGGGATAACTCCTTTATTCTGGAGCTGGTTGGAGCCACAGTTGGCTTTCTGTGGGATGGATTTTCCATTCTGTGCTCCAAGTGCAGACTGGGATCCCAACCCCGCTCCCAGCTGGGTGTGGATGGGGACTGGTGTGACAAAGCTTGGCCGGGCTGTAAATGCACCAGACAGGTATGAGGGCAGACAACAGCAAATTGGGCAAAAATCCCAAGGATTTAGGCGTTTTTCCAGCCCCCAGCAGAGGCAGGATTGTGGAGGTACTCAAATAGGATTATAAATCACCATTTGAAGAAGAGGACCTACTTACAGGAGTTTGTGAGAGGAAATAAATCCAAAAAGACCCATGGGGTTCTTTTTTTCTCCTCTCACCAGAGAGAAAAATGTGTAATGAATGTCTCATGTCTGAAACACTGGGCTGGATTCATCAAAGGGAGTTAGTAATTACCAAATTGAGAGAATCATGAAGCGCTTTTCTAAATTTGAAAGGCTCATCAAGAATAGATCAGGAGCAGGCAAAATTAATAGTTATGAACTCATTTCCATAGAAATGGACTTATTAGCAAGCATGCCAGCTGCCTAAAATTATAAGGTCTTTTCCTTGTGCTTGCAGGAAATAATCTTTTTTTATAAAAGTAATTTTGACTTTTTATTTTTTATTGCTTCTCTAAACTAGAGTTTGGCAAAATCCTAAACCGGGAGAAAACTTCACTGGACAATGGAGATATTTAACTAAAAAGAGAGAAAAGATTTGGAAAGGAGAAGTGATTTATAGTCCTTGGATTCCATCAGACTCTCCCCAAGAGTGCAAACTTATTTAAGAGAAAAATGAAATAAGTCTCCAGGAAAAGCTGGGAAATCTTGATAGGATAAAGTTTGGTTTAACAGGATTTAATGGTTGATAACAGCATGAGTTACAGTCCTTGTCTTCTCTGCTGGTGCATTTTCCCACTGGAGGCATTTTGTCTCCACCAGGCAGATGGACAGTGACCACCAAGAGCAAAGTTCTGCCCCCAGTTCCAAACCAGACCAAAAATTGAAGGTTTGCCCAGGGTGGAACCCCTGCTTTTAAAAAACTCTTCAGTGGTTATGCTGCACAGCCAGGAGAGAAATTGAAATGCAGGTGTTGGGATGGGAATTTATCAGCTAATGGAGCTGACATAAGTAAATGCTGACATTTGAGGTCTTGATTATGGTTTAATTTATCTCTGGTTTTACTTTAGCAACCCCCATCAATTTCAGCAGAAAAAGGCAGTGGTCTCCCACACGGTATTGCAGAGGATGGTTAATAAATTGCAGGAATTATGAATGTAATACCAGCCTTTCCACAGGAAACCTCTGTAGGATAAGAGATGAAGCAGCCAGTAGGTGAGCACTAGTCTGAACATGAGAGAAATTCACTTTTCAGGTTTTATCATGAGTTTGTACCAGCTGTAACCTGGGAAGAGGCTCAGAACAAAGAGGGTGAATTCATCAGTGGGGTGCTCGGTGTCCCAGATACCACAGCACCTGGCATTGCTCCAAGGCTCCAGCTCTAAAGGGGACAAAAACCATAATTTCAGAGAAAATTCATCCACCTGCTGGGGAACAGAGAGCAGACAGCTGAATCCTGGTTTGCCAAAGCTGTGCACGCAGGGCAGGCTCTGCAGGTGAGAGATGGCTCAAGGCCATCTCCTGCAGCAGAAGCCCAAGAGGGAAGTGGAACCTTCTTTTATCAATATTCACGTGTCATGCTGCTTAATTGGCTCCTGAGACAAAGCAGAAAACCTCAGACAAACGTTTGGTGGTGTTTTTCCAAGCAGTGCTAAGGATTCTCTTTGGAACCAGCATCGAGACCTGGGAGGGAGGACAGTTGTGTTTTAATTCACCTGTTAATGTAGCTTTGTTTGAATATACCTGTTAATGTGGTTTTGTTTGAATTCACCCGCTCATGTAGCTTTGTTTTGATTTGCCTGTTAATGTAGCTTTGTTCTGAGTCACCTGTTAATGCAGCTTTGTTTGAATTCACCTGCTAATGTAGCTTTGTTTGAATATACCTGTTAATGTGGTTTTGTTTGAATTCACCTGCTCATGTAGCTTTGTTTTGATTCGCCTGTTAATGTAGCTTTGTTCTGATTCACCTGTTAATGCAGCTTTGTTTGAATTCACCTGCTAATGTAGCTTTGTTTTAATTCACCTGTTCATGCAGTTTTGTTTTAATTTACCTGTTAATGTAGTTTTGTTTTAATTTACCTGCTAATGCAGCTTTGTTTGAATTCACCTGCTAATGCAGCTGCATCTGAGGAAGGTTTATGTATAAGATACAAGCCCACTGTTGTGGTTTCTTTCTGGATGTGTAAAAGGAAAGCCAGGAAAGGAATAATTGAAAGCGTTGTGGGCTGAACTAAAATGCCAATCAGTGGGACCCATGGATTGGATTTGTCACTGCAGACTAACCTGTTATTTAATGAGTCTCTTTGTACCCAAATCCTCCACTGGTGGTTTTGTTCTCAATTTGAACCATTCCTGGGTGGTTTTGAGAGTGGCAGCTCTTGGCCTGAGCAGGCTGAAGTGAAATTGCAGACCTAAACAAACCTTGACAGGCCCAATATCTAAATCCATAGTTAGTGGAAAGCTCATATCCAAATTTTAGTTCTGTGTTGTGAGCATATTAATTGTATGCAACTTAGATAAAACAAACTGCTGGAGGTGATACACGGAAACCAATGAAGTTCAGTTTATGTTTTTAACAAAAATGGTTTAATTACATCCCTGTTATTATGTAATAAAATTTATCTTAAAAGGTTTTTGCTGGTTGTCTGGTTGGCCACACAAAAGATGCCTTAATAGCTTCTAGTTGTGCCTGGAGGTGGATATTATCTTCTGTCAGCATGGAAAATATTTATCCTCCAGGCATTGAAGCATATGTTTAGGTCGTTTGTTGTCAGAAAGAAAACACGAAAATCAATAATTCCCGCTCAGAATTTTTTCCCCCTTTACAATTCTCCTTGAGAAACATATGGCAAACCCAGATTCTGCCTCTGTGCATTTGGGGAGAGGAAAAGGATGTTTGGAGTCTCTGTTTTCTGCAGCAGCAGCTGAAACTGTGAGCACAGCTCCTGGAGTGGCTGCTTTGGGGAGGGACACACAGACAATGAATGTGCCACTGGCCTGGCACACAGAAAATTCAGATTTTACCCCAAAACTTGAGCAGTGTAGGTAAAATCAGGCGTTTCTGCAGCAGAAGCAGCATCTGGCTCTGCAGTCAGAGCCTTTCCATCCTCTCCATGCCTGTCACCTCCACCAGGTCCCCTCACTGTCTGAGTCTGGAACTTGCATTCTTTGTAAATATTTGTGTGTAAACTTTGCATGATTTGTGAAACAACTCAGTTTGTGGGGACGTTTGGATGAGCAAAGGCTGTTTTCCAAGCAGATCCCTGCTGAGGATGCTCTGAGTGCTGCTGGTTAAAGCTTGGTGTCTGTTTGCTTCTCTGTAACACAAAAACAAGCTCTGTTTTTCTAACCTGAGGATTAATTATTGATATTTACATAGCTTTGGACCTGAGGAAAGTGATAAGAGTTGCTGTTGAGAAAGGAAGCAGAAGTAATTCTTAAATTCATTTCTGACTGCTGTGCATTTACATCCATTTCTTTACTTTTAAACTTTTATTTCCAGATGAGAAATATATGATTGCCATATAATTACCAGTCTGCACCACTGACGAGGAGAATGTTGTCATGAATTCAAAATAGGGATAATCTACCCCTCATTTATTGTCATGTATAATTTCTGCAAATCCATTTTTTCACTGAGATAAAGACCAGTTTGGGTTTGAAAGGCTTTTTTTCCCCTCCACAAGAGCTCATTTCTGGTAGAACATGAGGAATGGCCAAGTATTCTGTTGTTTTGCAGCATCAAAATTATAATAATGTTGTATTAAATAATTTAGCAACTTCTGTGCAATGCCTTTCCAAGGGTTTGTGGCTTATTCTGCAAGTTCATTGTGATTATGGAGAATGAATGCCTGAGTTTAATGGGAAAAATTTCAGGAAACTAAAAGATGAACTTTCACCTTATTTAGAAAGTTCTGCAATTGTCCATGTGCAGTTTTATTTAGGTTTCTGTCAGTGTCTCAAGGCTGAGACACTGAATTTAATGTGAATTTAATGGCGAGTAGGAAAGAGAAATGAAAATCCACTTTGCTATCAACACCCCGGTGACGATGTGGGGAATCTGCCTTGTTTTGCAGAGCAAACATGACCTCCTACGAGATCCTGCAGATGGATTTTGAGGTTGACAACGGCAGCAGCCTGGCAGGGGCGCAGCAGATCACCTGGCAGGTGGAATACCCGCGGGACGACTCGGTCAGCGAGCTCGTGGTGTCCGAGATCTTCGTCAGCCGCACCATGTTCGTGGGCATCGTGCCCCTTGCCATGGTAAGGACGTGTTCCTTGGTCCCTTTTCTCAGTGCTTTTGTGGGAATTGTTCCTCTTGCCATGGTAAGGACCTGCTGCTGATCCCTTTTCTCAGTGCTTTTGTGGGAATTGTTTCTCCTTGCCATGGTAAGGACGTGTTCTTGATCCCTTTTCTGAGTGGTTTTATGGGAATTGTTCCTCTTCCCATGATAAGGACTTGCTCCTGATCCATTTTTTGAATGTCTTTATGGGAATCATTCCCCTTGCCATGGTGAGGACCTGCTGCTAGTCCCTGTTCTTATAGGAATTGTTCCTCTTGCCTTGGTAAGAATCTGCACCTGCTCCCTTTTCTGAGTGTTTTTATGGGAATTGTTTCTCTTGTCATAGTTAGGACCTGCTGCTGATCCCTTTTCTGAATGTTTTTATGGGAATTGTTCCTCTTGCCATGGTAAGAACCTACCCCTGCTCCCTATTTTTATGGGAATCATGCCCCTTGTCATGGTAAGGACCTGTTCTTGATCCCTTTTCTGAATGTTATCATGGGAATTGTTCCTCTTGCATGGTGAGAACCTGCTCCTGATCCATTTTCTGAGTGTTGGTATGGGAATTGTTCTTCTTGCCATGGTAAAGACCTGCTGCTGTCCCTTTTCTAAATGTTCTTATGGGAATTGTTCCCCTTGCCATGGTAAGAACCTGTTCCTGCTCCCTTTTCTGGCTGTTTTTGTGGGAATTTTTCCTCTTACCATGATAAGAACCTGCTGCTGATCCCTCTTCTGAATGTATTTATGGGAATCATCCCTCTTGCCATGGTTAGAACCTGCTGCTGATCCCTTTTGCTGAATGTTTTTGTGGGAATTGTTCCTTTTGCCATGGTAAGGACCTGCTGCTGATCCCTATTTTTATGGAAATTGTTCCTCTTGCCATACTAAGAACTTGCTGCTTCTCCTTTTTGCTGAATGTTTTTATGGGAATCATTCCCATTGCCATGGTAAGAACCTCCCCCTGTCCTCTATTTTTATGGGAATATTTCCTTTTGCCATGGCAAGAACCTGCCCCTTACTCCCTTTTCTGAATGTTTTTATGGGAATAGTTCCTTTTGCCATGGCAAGAACCTGCCCCTGCTCCCTTTTGCTCAATGTTTCCGCTGATCCTCGTTAGTATTCGAGGAATGGGAGCCTTTTTATTATGAGCTGCTTCCTATGCACCTGCTGCAAGCGATTTAAATGCAAAAAATCCATTTCAATAATATTTTATTTACCTGATGCGCCGTAATGGCTCCTTGGAAACCATTTGGGCCTTTTGTGAAAATCCTTTGCCGTTTGTGGGTTATTGGGCTGGTGCATGGAAATGGCTCCTGCGTCCTCTCTGTGTGGATGGCACTGCCAGGCTGAGCTCTGAGGGTGCTGCTGTCATTAGTGGGGACATTTTCACTGAAATAAATTAGCTTTGCACGTGTGGGAAGCTTCATTGCTAAACCAAACAACTGGGCTGTTCGCTGCTCTGCTTTCCCCCAAAAGAGCCAAACAGTCCAGTGAGCTGCAAAGTGCCAATTTAATAAAAGATTTAATAAAAGGCCTGGATTGAGTAGCACAGAAAGGATAAAATACCTCCTGAAAATGGAGGTGTCCAGCAGGTTGAGGTGTATGAGTGCAGGAAGCTTGCAGCTGATTATTTATTTTAAAAATGCAAATATCTCCTGGTAAAATCAGAGGCACCTTTTCCAGGAGGAGCTTTGAGCTGTGTTGGGGCATGATGGATTTTTTAATATCAGAGCTTTACACAGGAACAAGGATTTCATGGGGAAATTGGGGGTAAAAGCAGAGAAACAGCCAAAGTGTGGATGCTACAGCATTTCCTCAGAAGCACCCACTCTTTTTTACTTGGTTCCTCATGAACATTTGCCCTTCATCCCATACCTGCCAAAGCATTTTCTGCTCAAAAAGCTGAAAGGGATTGGATGGGCCTGCTTGTACAGGGGAAATAAATAAATAAATGCTAATTCCTAAAACTGTGCAAATTAACAAATTGGCTTTTCCTTCAGTACTCTGTTATTATTTGGTATTTATGTAGTGTTTTATATTTTTGGAACTCTTTGTAGACATTAATTAATCAGACCTGAATAAACTAAGCTTGATGAGAATAGAAAATGAAATGGAAATGAAGTCACTCTCATTTAGTTTTACCTGTTTCTGAATGACTTCTAAGTCCCTTTTTATATTCTTAAAGGTACTTTTAAAGCACTTACTCTTACAGAACTCTTGCTTATTATCTCTAAAAACCATTTTGGTTAGAAAAGAGGAAGAATTTATACCTTTAAGAACAAGTGACAGCAGGGATGAGTGGCTTTGAAGACTGTAAATGCTGTTTTGTAACCTAAACTCTTGTTTTGTTTAGGCTTTAATTCAGCTAAAAAAGCAGGGATGCACCAAGGGAAATATGGGTTGGGTATTAGGAAGAAGTTTTTTACAGAAAGGGTGATAAGTTCTGAAATGTGATAAAGTTCACATTGCAGTCCCCATCCCTGGGTGTGTTTAACAAAGCCTGGATGTGGCACTGGGGGCCAGGGTTTGGCTGAGGGGTTGGGGATGGGTTGGGCTCAGTCTTGAAGGGCTCTTCCAACCCAGTGATTCTGTGAGTTCTGTGAATTCTGGTAATTCTGTGAATTCATTGAATTGATTCTCCTGACATTTGGTGCCCAGATGAACACACTGAACTCACACCCCCCCCAAGTAAAGGTGATCCATTCCCCTCAAACACAGGAGAACAGATCAGGGTGAGGAAAGCACATCCAGAGCTCTTTTTGGTGCCTCTGTTATGCTGCTGAATATCAGGGGAAAATCTGCTATTCTGCCTTCTGCTGCTAATTCCCATTGCTGACTGCAAACACAGCAGGTGATTATTTTATAATGTTTATGGCATTGATATAGGCTGGGAGCTGTGAGTCTGGTTGGTGTCTGATGCAGCAGAAGGTGTGTTTTAGCATCCAGAAGGTCCAGCAGAACATTCTAAACTTGGATCTAAACTAGACAGCTTGATTTATCTTAATATAAAAATGTGATATAATAATCCTGCAAAGTGGAAGTGCATGTCCTGCTAATTACAGAAACTGATAGCACAGATAAATCTGCTCTGTCCAGCGATGATATAACCCTGTAATTCTCAGTTATTGCTCTTGATCTAAGCAGACATCATCTGCAATTGCCAAAGCTGTGGAAAGTTGGTGGTAGCAAGGTCGTCAGTGGAGTCTGGCACTCCTGGGATGCAGAAACAAACACTGCCCCAGCTTTCAGTCTGTCACCCAGGCTTCTGTCACCAACACCTGGGGTTTGGTTAATCTGTTACCTAACTAACAGTTGGCAAAAACATAAAGAAAAAGAGAAAAAAATTAAAATCCAGGTCTTTTAGAGAGTTTCTAGGCAACCAGGACTTAGTTAAAGTAAAGAATTAGACATTGAAGAGATGTATCTTAACTGGTTTATGTAAGCAGGCTCCAGCTGGGGCTGAAGGCTTGAGGAACAATGGATTTAATAATAGAAAAATACCTGGCATTGTCTCCTTCTGTGGGGAAAGGATGGTTTGGTCTGTGGCTGGCAGCCCTGCTCTCTCAGAGGTCCATGCTGAAATCCTGTCTGTGCAGCAATGGAACTGAGAGTCCCAGGCTGGCGTTAACCAAAGCAGTTTTCAATGCTTCAGAATCAATATTGCCCCAGGGCTCTGTGCCCCTCAGCCGCAGACATTTCTGTTTTTTACAGGTGTCTGAACAATGTCTTCAGGAAGTTTGTTTCCTCCCCAGAATGGGCGCTGTTGCTGAAATAAAGGTTTCCTGAGGCTGTGAGTCCCTTACACACATGGCTGTGCCTGCTCTGCTGAGGTTCCTTTAGATGGGAGCCTGGAGAATTGCATTTCAGGTTCCTGCCAGACAAGAACACCCAGGAAAATTGTCCTTAAAGTGCCCATTTCTGTGACTCAGGCTGAAATGGGATTGCTGAGGGCAACACTTGGCTGATTTGTTTGAGAAAAAACCTTTTTATTTATTTTGTTTTTTATTTTAAATATTTTTAAATAGCTTAAATATATTTATTTTAAATAATTTAAAATTTTATTTATTATATTTTAGTTTTTATATATTATTTTTTACGTAAGAATTTATTTTTCCTACAAAAATCAGGGTTTGCTAATGGAATTTTTATTTAGAGAGCAGTTAAAAGAGCACACTCAGTCCAAGGTGGAAGGTGACCCAGGCTTAGAAAGCAGCACCTCAAACTAAACCAGAAAATGTCACTCTTCAGCAGCTTTTCCTTTGCCTGCTCTGGGTTTGGCTGTAAAAACCAAACCCACTTCATTCTCAAGTATAAAAAAGCCAGGATCAGTCATTTCTAGCAAACCCAGATGATTTATGTATCTCTCAGAAGTTGGTTAAATGCATTTATGTGCAAAATTTTCCCCTATGTGTTTATCCCTTGCACTTAATGCATATTTCTTACTTGCAATCACATTGACCTTTGGCTTTGCAGTTCCTTTTTAACAGTGCCTTTGTGTTGTACTTTGCATGCAAAGGAACCTGCCCAGAATGGGATTTTGTCCTTCCCAACATTCACTGATTTATTAAAAACAATTAAATATAAATTCAGTCCAGAGTGGATCTTCATCCCAGAAATACCAGGGATTATCAACATTGTTTTAAAATAAAACTGGAATCTGTGGCTCCCAGATCACAGATTTCAGTGTGAATTTTAACACTGATTAATGGCAGCAGGATTGAAGCCTTGAGCTTTCCTCAAGTCCCACATTGGAAGGATTGATTTTATACTCAGAGCAAATTAACTACTGTGGAGAGAGTACAGAATAGGAAAAAAGAGATTCTTCTTTTGTATTACTTTATTTCCCATGCCCATAGCAAGTGTTTTATGTCTCTGCAGCAGAGATAAGATCTTGTGCAATTATTACCATCTCCAAATTAATTGTCATAGAGAATTAAATGGTTTTGTTTTGTCAGGCTGCTCCTAAAACCACAGGGTGAA